CTCACATTGTCGGCCCATGTTCATCTTGGAGTCAATAATGACTCCAAGATCTCTTTCTGCCACCGTGCTCTAGAGAAGGGAGTTTCCCAGCTTATAAATGTACTGCTGGTTCATACAGCCCAAGTGCAGCACCCTGCACTTGTCAGTATTGAAGCCCATCCTATTTTCGTTAGCCCACCCCTGTAACCTGTCCAGGTCCTTCTGTAATCTGTCCTTCCCTACTAGCGGGCCCACCTCACCCCATACCTTGGTATCATCAGCAAATTTAAATAGGCTGCTTTTTACCCTGTCATCCAAGTCACTAATAAAGAAATTGAACATTGCAGGCCCAAGGACCGAGCCCTGGGGGACTCCACTGCCCACTTCCGTCCAGGTTGAAAAAGACCCGTCCACCACTACCCTCTGAGTATGACCCTTCACCCAATTTGCAATCCATCTGACTGTAGGCATCAATGCCACAGTCACCTAGTTTTTTGATGAGAACGGGGTGGGAGAGTATCAAAGGCCCTACTGAAGTCCAGAAAGACTACATCCACCGTGACATCTGCATCCAAGGCTTTTGTGACCTGATCGTAGAAGGCAATCAGGTTGGTCTGACAGGACCTGCCCCTAATGAAACCGTGCTGGTTGCCCTTGAGCATCATCCCTGCTGCTGGCCCATCACAGATGTGCTCCTCGATGATCTTCTCAAAGAGTTTCCCCAGGATTGAAGTAAGACTAATGGGCCTATAGTTGCCCGGGTCCTCCCTCTTCCCTTTTTTGAAGATGGGGACCACACTGGCTTTCTTCCAGTCATCTTGCACCTGGCCAGAGCACCACGAGTGCTTGTAGAGCCATGCCAAGGGTACCACAATAACCCCTGCCAATTCCCTCAGCACCCTGGGGTGGAGTGCATCTGGACCTGCTGATTTGAACACGTCCAGCCCCTCCAGAAACTCTCTAACCTGGTCCTCCCTGACCTTAGGCCTGGTAGCGTTTCTCCCGAGTCCGACTAGAATCCCGGTTGGGGAGTCCCGGTCCCTGCACAAGAAAATGGAGGCAAAGAATTTGTTAAAGAGGTCCGACTTTTCCTCTGGTGCGACCACCAGATTGCCAAGCATATCCTGCAGGGGCTCCACATTACCCGGTGCCTTCTTCATTCTCCCTATATATTTAAAAAAGGACTTTTTATTATCTTTGATCCTTGATGCTAGCCCTAGCTCCATATCTGCCTTAGCTTTTCTAACAGCCCCCATACAGACCCGAGCGGTGGAGGTATACTCCTTTGGTGATAGCCCATCCCTTCCACTGGTTGTACGCCTACTTTTTGGCAATCAGGCATTCACAAATGCCCTTGGTGAACCAGGGAGGCTTTTGGGCACTCTTGCCCCGCTTGCTTCTTGTTGGGATTGTCACCCCTTGAGCTCTGAGTATCATCTCCTTAAGGAACGACCACTCATCTTGGGCACTGAGTTCCCCTACTCTCGAGGACCTCAGCACCTCTTCCACTAATCCCCTCAAGTCATTGAAGTTGGCCCTCTTAAAGTCTAGGGCTACTGCCTTGCTGCAGGCCCTTGGCACCCTGCGCTGGATGGTGAATTCCAGCAAGCGATGATCGCTATCACCCAGATGGTCAAGGACCTGGAGCCCTCTTACCAGGTCATCGCCTGTAGCCAGAACCAGGTCCAGCAGGGCATTCCCCCTGGTAGGACTATGCACCTCCTGGGTTAAGTGGAGGTCCTGTACCTCAGCCAGGAACCTCCATGAGCGGTCCGACCTGGCTGACTGCTCCTCCCAGCAGATGTCCGGGTAATTTAGACAACCCATGACAACTTCATCCTTTGCCTTAAGCGCCTCCGCAAGCTGACCCAAGATTTCGCAGTCCAGCTCTTCCCCTTGGTTGGGAGGTCTGTAGTAGACCCCCACAGTTAAGTCCCTTTCCCCCCGACCCCCCTGTATCCTGACCCAGAGCACTTCAGCCTGCCCCTCCTCTGAGCCCATCCTGCTGGTAGAGGATGTGTATTGCTCTTTGACATGGAGCACCCCACCCTCACCTTTTCTCCCTGTTCTATCATGCCTGTAAAGCCTATAGCCCCTAATGTTAACCGCCCAGTCATGGGATGAATCCCACCACGTTTATGTAAGCCCTACTATGTCTGGGGTTAAACAGGCTATTCAGAGGGTGAGTTCCTCATGTTTATTCCCCATACTACGAGCATTTGTATAGAGGCATTTAAGGCCTTGGATTGCTGCGTGTGCTGTCCCACCCACCCCTTTTTCAAGACTATCTGGACCCCTGTTACGTACCTGGGTTCTCCTTGCATATGTCACCTGTCTTGGTCAGGAGGTGTCCAACTTGATGATAAGCTCTGAACTCCCCATCTTCTTTTACATCTGGTCTCAGACTCCTCTTTGCATTTGGTTCAGGCTCCCAAATCTGCCCTGAGGCTCTGGCCCTGGGATCCCTTTCTCTTTATGACTGCCAAGCTCCCCTTAGTGGTACCAATGAGAATAACTCCCGGACAGATCCTGGTGTCACCTATGACAGGGGCATAGCCTAGTCCCTTTGTCCATGTGAAGGCAGAGGGGACAGGAACAGACTTCTTCTATTTAGGGTCAGACCCAGGAGACCAGGATCACAGTCCCAGCTCTTCCAAGGGCTACCTGTAGCTGAGACCAAATCACTATCTTCCTTTTCCATCCTTTTGTGCATCTCTAAAAATGGGAGGATACATCCTTACTTTATTTGGGACATGAGGAGAAAAGCCTTTTTTATTCTGAGGTACTCACATGCTGTGGAGATGGCCATAGAGGCCCCAGAAAAATATCCTGTAAGGGGTGTCGGAGAAATTATCCGTCTAGGTTCCCAACCTGGTAAGGGAACACATGCGGACTCTCCTGACCCCAAAGGGGCTTGTTTCCAGCTGAGACTCAAATAAGCGGGTAATAAGGGTATGGTCTTTCCAGTTTATTCGGCCGAATGTCCCCCCATCCTCGTAAGGGCAGGGGGCCCCGACTGTAACTTAACACACATATTTA